TTTTTGCAGAGAATATGGATTTTGAATATCAACAACGTGTCCCACCTACTCCTTCAAATAGACGACGTTGTGAATTGGATGTTGACCATGAACAGGGACAAGGGCGTGGGCGAGGACGAGGTCGAGGTCATGGTCGAGGTCGTGATCTAGTTTCGGTAGAATATGATATCCCCAGTGCGAGTCAAAGTAGAAGCCGAAGCCAAAGACGAGTTGAAGGTGATGATATGCCTGACATTGCTGTGGAGGACGCCTTTTTACCGGACATTGACATACAGTCGTAGGCCTAGGCGTAGGCATACAGCTGATTCGTGACATGTTATTTGCGTGTTGATGAATTTTTTTTGGTGATTTTTGTAAGATGATATTGTTGTAATGGTAACAGTGGTTAACATTTTTCTTATTACAATGGAATGGCAACAATGGTATTGTAATGACATTGTAATGACATTTTATTTTTAGAATGGAATGGTAACAATGGTCATTGATTTTGTAAGTGATATTTTCTTATTATCAAACATTCACATTTGGTGAGCAATTCGAAACATAAAATCCATGTGAATTGAGTAGTGTAATCCAACACAAAATCCGCGCAAACCTGACTTCCTTCAGTTGACACATATTCCTACATGTTTTGTATAACATTACAAATTTTTAATGGCATTATAAACATAAATTTGCAATTCGAAACTGTAAATTTAGTTTGTAGTTTGCAAATTTGGAATATAAAATGGGAAAACAAAATTTTACTTCATTCGGAAGTAGTTGTCCGATTTTTTTTTAAAATTTCGGAAGTTGAATGTTGTAAAGGTTAACTTTGTTCGGACAACAACTTCTGAATTTAAATACTTTGTTCGGACAACAACTTCCGAAATTAATAACTTTGTTCGGACAACAACTTCCGATATTAAATAATTATTTTGGTTGTAGATTTTCGAACCAAATAACACAATACGACCCTGGTTATTCGAACGACGCTGGAAAAAAAAAAAGTGATGCTCATTTGGATATCCTCCACAGGCAAATCCAACTCTGCTCATTTCCAATGCAAATCCTCCAGAACAATGATGAATGAAGAATAAGTGATGCTCTGTGAAGGTGAGTCAAACGTGATGGATGACTGACTTGAGCTTAATGAATGAGTGCTGAACTTGGAGCTTCAACGTGATGGATGTGTGTGCATTGAGACTTTTGAATTGGGTAGATGTCTAAAATAGTAATTTCATTTAGGGACAAAATTGTAATAAGATTAAATATCATTAAGTGTGTGCAAAGAGGGTATTTGGTGTGTGTAAATAGAAGCTCCCCTTTTAATCATATATCTTATTGGGTAAATTACACTAACACCCCTTGAGGTTTAGGTTATTACAGTTCCTCCTCACCTTTTGGAAATTACATTTCTCTCCTGAGGTTTAAAGTTTCATTACATATTCCCTCCCTCAGCAATTTAAGTTTTTCAATACCAATTTTGCCCTCATTGGGTAAATTACATTGACACCCCTCATATTTTAGAAATTACAATCCCCTCCCTAAGGTTTAAAGTAGCATCACCAATTACCCCCTCGGTTAGTATTGGTTGGAAAAAAAAATTCATTGAAAAAAAATTAATTGAAAAATTTGTTAGTAAAATTTTTAAATTTTTGTTTAAAAACCAATGTAAGCTCATTTTTTGAATTTACGTTTTTTCCTCAATTTTACAAACTGAGACGACAATTTATAAACCAAAAAAATTGTCAAACAAGTTTTTATGGCAGTTTTTTTTAAATTTTGGAAATATAAATTAAAAACTGAAAACGAAATAGTTACCAAACAAGCTTCAGATAATAAAAATGTCGTAAAATTAACAAATAATTAAATAAGTTACTAACGTAAGAAATGACTTATCAAAAGATTCTGAGGCTATGTATGGTTTGATTTTTAGAAAAAAAAATTAAAAATTAAAAATTAATTTGTTTAAGAAATAAAAAATAAAAAATAATTATCATTTTTATATAATTTTTATCTTTCGAGTGGTTAGAAATATTTTTTTACAAATTAAATTAAAACAGCCATACGTATATATATAACCTGCCCAAAAGTTAAAATGATAATTATTTTTTACCCTTAAATGATAATTATTTTTTATTTTTTATTTCTTAACCAAATTAATTTTTAATTTAAAAAAAAAATCTAAAAATCAAACCACACATAGCCTAAGAATCTTTTGAAAAGTCATTTCTTACGTTAGTAACTTATTTAATTATTTGTTAATTTTATGACATTTTTACCATCTGAGGCCTGTTTGGTAATCATTTCGTTTTCAATTTTCAATTTATATTTACAAAAATTTTAAAAACTGTCATAAAAACTTGTTTGATAATTTTTTGGTTTATAAACGGTTGTCTCAGTTTGTAAATTTGATGAAAAAACATAAATTTAAAAAATGAGTTTACGTTGGTTTTTAAACAAAAATTTAAGAATTTTACTAACAAAATTTGTTGTCAATTAAATTTTTTTTCAAATAATTTTTTTTCCAATTGATTTTTTTTTCAATGAATTTTTTTTCCAACTAATACTAACCGAGGGGACAATTGGTAATGTTACTTTAAACCTTAGGGATGGGATTGTAATTTCCAAAATGTGAGGGGTGTCAATGTAATTTACCCAATGAAGGCAAAATTGGTATTTAAAAAAATTAAATTGTTGAGGGGGAGAATTTGTAATGAAACTTTAAACCTCAGGGGAGAGATGTAATTTCCAAAATATGAGGGAGGAACTATAATAAACATAAATCTCAGGGGTGTCAGTGTAATTTACCCTATCTTATTCTATTAAACAAAGATCCTTAATAGTGAGCAACGAATATACATATATATATATATATATATATATGTGGGGCATTACTCATTATTAAAGGACTTTAAGTAATATAACAACATATATTATTAAGAGTGTCTTAAAATTTTGGGAGCTTTTCCAAATATCGAGCTTAGGCGTTTGTCTAACTCGTTTAATGGACATGTCATTATTAATAACTCATATAATACATACATATGACCACCTTTATTAAAATGAATTATGTATAGTATAGGAAACTACTAATATTACCAATCCAAAGCATAAGTCATACAAGTTTATAACTTTGAATACTAGTACTTAATTATTGTAACCAACATTTCAATAACAAATCTTTGTGGTAACTTACTGGTTTATTCACAAGCAAACAAATCTAAGACGGACAAGCATTATATCAGTGGTGTTACATGCACAAATTAGTGTACACACTAATGTACCAACTAGTGTTATGATATTATTATTGACAATATTTATTATACAAGTTACAAATACCCAAAACCATACAAATGATGCCACATCATCTGTTAGTATAGCAGTGTGTACATTAATTGGTACATATAGCATTATTCGCATTATATATACGTATTATGTGTTTGTATCTGTATACTTCACGGCTTGTTATGCAATAGTGATTGCACTTCAAATGTTGAAGCCAGAGGTACTCGTGGTTTGGCAGTTCGGTTGCGGCCAAATGAAACTCAAATCCGCCATCTGTCCAAAACTAAGCGGATTGGAAAAAAAAAAATCAATCCGCAACTGTCCGCTCGTCATCATGTATCCGTCCAAAATGTGGTGGATTAGTTCGATTCGGTTGTTTTTGACAGATCGATATATCCATTGCTCACCCCTAATTGTAAGCTTTGTATTTTCAATTTGTTTAGATGTTCTGTTTGTATTTTCAATTGAAAAAGAGTTTTCAACTATAATATATTTTTTGAATTGAAAAAAATAAATGTATTATTTATCTATATTTTTTGATTTTTAAATCTAATTCTAAAAATAATAAATAAAAAAGATGATATATGCTAGTTGGTTTTTGTTTTCAAAAACAGATATAGATCTAACAATACAGAGACACACAATCTCTACTACTACTTTGTTCATGATTTTGGTGGTTTGAATTATTTTTATATTTTAAGAACCACAAATTGTAGTACTTTACGTGGATGAGGCATGCTGTAATTGTAATATGTGGATAAGGCTTGCAGTGATTGTAATATTCTAAAGTTTCAAATTTTCTTTTTTTAGATGAGGCATGCAGTGATTGTAATAATTTTTTAAGTCATTAACTGTAATACTTTTATTTATTTTTTATTTATTTATTTATTTTATTTTTTTTGAAGAAGTGCACAAATTGAATTATATTGAAAATTTATAAAATTTTAAATCGCCAAATTGATTCGCATCCATCTGCCAATTCACTCAATCCACATCTGCCGAATTGACGGACGGATATGGATTGATTTTCTCCAATTCGCCAATCTGGCAGACGGATGGCGAATTGGAGATTCCATAGCCGCAACCGATCCGTACCCACCCCTAGTACTGCTATCTAAAAAAGTTCCAGTGGAGGTTGAAGCAACATCTCAAGCCTCAATAAGGTCAGCTGCATTGTATTCAACCTCTTCATAGTGTTAGGGAATCGTCGAACTTCTTTGTGATATTCTAATTCCTTCCAACTCAGCAGCAACATCTTTCATTGTAGGCCTCTTCTTTCCATTCAAGTTTAGGCATCTTCTTGCGAGGTGAGCAACATCAATAATCTCTTCTCTCTGACCCTTATTGAGAATTCGGGGATCAAGAATCTCAAGTAGACGATTTTCCTGCATTGATTCCATAAAATACGTGACTAAACTCCTACTTTCTTGAGATCTATTAGAAGAGATTGGTTTTTGCCCGATTAAAAGCTCAACAATAACAACTCCAAAGAAGTAGACATCACTTTTATCAATAAATTGTCTAGATTGAAAGTACTCTGGATCCAAGTACCCAAAGGTTCCTTGTACTCGTGTGGTCAAATGAGTATTATCAACATCAATTGATGTTGAAGTTCCAAAATCAGAAACTTTTGCCTTGTATTTATCATCCAGGAGTATGTTGGTTGACTTCATGTCTCGATGATAGATGGGTATGGAAGCAGCTTGGTGCAAGTAGGAAAGAGCTCCGGCAACTTCTGTGGCAATTCGAAAGCGCATCTCCCATGGTAATGGGAACTCCTCATTTGGATCATGAATATGTTGAGACAGTGTTCCATTTGGTATGAACTCGTATATTAGCATAGGAACGTCTGTCTCTAGACAACAACCTAAGAGCTTGACTATATTCCTATGGACAATTTGTGAAAGAATGACGACTTCATTGATGAATTGTTCAACTTGTCCCTCGTCGACAACCTTAGACTTTTTAACAGCTATGATTCTTCCATTTGACAACATGTCTTTGTAAATAGTACCTGTTGGAAAATTAATTCAAAGTAAGTGATGGATTAAAAAATTTAGAAAAATAAACAATAAAGAAATCTTATTGAAATTAGAGAGAAAAAAAAATCATAAATTTTGCTGCAAATCAAATCCTGGATTTATGAAATAGCATAACTACTTAATTATGGTTAAATTAATTAGGAAAGATTGTATTTGATTTTTCAATAAAAATATTATGACAAATATTGGTTCATATATGCGCTCACCACGATATATACAAGTGCAAGTCCTATACACGTGTCTGTATGTATATGCATATATATATATATATATATATTATATGCGTGTTGTGCTAACTTTTGGCGTAAAACTTTCATAGTGCCTTCATATTCTTGACCCTTATCCAACCCAAAGAAGCATCCATGTATAAAAGGTCTCAAGATGTTTGGTAAGAAATCAATGCAAAATAAGAAATTAATTGTAAGCTTTAGATAATGAAAGGATAACAAAAATGTACCTTTCCCTCCTTTCATGGTAATGATCGGTGGCTTTCTCTAACTCCTTTGAATTAAACAATTTTATTTTTTCACTGTTGTAATGCCCTCAAAATAATACATAATGCCCATCATTCAGACATACAGTAATATAAGAAAATCAACGCCTTTCCATTCATCAGAGTAGTTCTTACAACAGTATTACATGTTAACAACAAAAGCAAATGCCCTACGGGCTTACAGCTTTCCAAGTCAACACTTGGTTACACAAAAGAAGAGTACTAACTCTATACAAAATAAGCCCTTGGCTTGATATACATGTAATACAAACAAAATAATCAAAAAGAATCTTCAACTCCCATAACCATCCAAGCTATGTCCTTAGAGGTGGCATGCTATATGTACCTGAAAATAATGTCCCATATAAGGTGAGCCAACGCCCAGTAGAGATATGCTAAACATAATATGAGCAATAACTAAGACATTAGCAATTGATAAATGTTAACTCCCATAAATCAATTCATAAACCATATCCATTACATGACCACTATGTCTATGTTTCATTTCATTTTCCATTTCTTATCCAATTTCCAAATTCATACCCATGGCTCAAAACCTGGCCACACACTCAAAATGAAATAATAATTCATATTAAACGTTTCCTATTTCGCAATAGATAAGCATACAAGCTGTATCAACACCTCAACAGATAAGCATATGAGCTATATCAACACTTCCATAGATAAGCATATGAGCTATATCAACACTTCCATAGATAAGCATATGAGCTATATCAACACTTCAACAGATAAGCATATGAGCTGTATCACCGGAGTACATCCCCTATCTTCTCCCAAACATTAACCGGTTTAGAGGTCCATCCTCTATCTTCCCCTAAACCGTGGAGTACATCCCCTATCTCCTCTCACACAACACAATGCATATAAACAATTATCATATACATCATCAAACAATACATAAAGTTAATGTATTCTTTCAACTGTCATATACGATGACACATTCCATTGATTAGTTTTAGTTTGCCTAATCATCATGCATTGTCTACAACAATCACGACTGCCCTCCACCGGTAGCCCAAGGCAATTATTTCTAAACAGATAATAAATGCGTTAACAGATAATTTATCCATATTTCCAAAAGTGAGCGATTAATAAATCCAACTTCACTAATCCGTCTCATAATGAGCCAATTTCATTATATTCAACTCAATTCCATATTTTCTCAACATTTGTCATTAATTACACTAGTGACCTAAAAATACCCAAACATGGCATTTTCCCCTTGATTCCCAATATTGACTCCAAGAGTCCATATATTGCCAACAACATCAATATACTCATTTTGAAACCCAAATACGTATTTATGGTCCAAAATAAACAAAACCCTCTTTTCAAAATTAAGCATTTGAAACCCTAGTTTCCAAAACCCAAAACCATTTATACAAAAACTCAATATCTAGGTCAAAACCAATAAAAGTGAGTAGGAATCCCTACCTCAAATTCGGAGCCCAAGGGAAGGAGATGAAGAAAACCAAAATGCTCCAAACTCCAAGATCCACAGATCAAAACGAAGCCCTCGACGATCAACACAACTTTTACAAAGGCCAAAGGAAAGGGAAGCACTCTAACTAGATCAAACCCTAGAGAGAAGGGAGTTTCTAGAGAGAGAGGCTCTCAAAATCGGTTTTGGAAAAGTAAGAGAGAGAGAGTGAATGTAAAAAGTGATTCAAAAATGCCTAACTGCCTTCTGATATACGACATTCCCGCTCGATCGGAGAACAGGACGCTCGAGCGTAAAGCACAAAAATCTGGACACGCTCGAGCGTAATAAGGCCTGCTCGAGCGCCAAGACACAAGAATAAAGTACATCCGCTCGAGCGCGAACACCAGTCCGCTCGAGCATAGATTTTCCCCTCCCAGAACTTACACCAAAAATGTATTACCCGCTCGAGCCCCAACAAGCCCGCTCGAGCGCCACCCGCTCGAGCGCCACCCGCTCGAGCGCAGGAAATCCGTTCGAGCGTAGAAATCACACCTACAGAAGTTTTGCAGAGCACAAAAAAATACTGGGAGTGTGCAATCTCCGCTCGAGCCCTAGACGACCCGCTCGAGCGGAACGACCAAAAACCTGGCAACAAGATTTTAGACGAAGGCTCAACCCACCTGCTCGAAACATGCCCAACACATCCTAAAATTCAAACAAATGGAATCAAAGGATGACAATAAGATAGATACAACTACCAACTCCACAGAACCAAAGTCCGGAATACAACAAATATCGAATGGGAAAACCGAGATTGCTATAACTGCCATCCCTTGAAGATAACTTGTGTTGTAGCAAGAAACCACCATTTCGTTTGAAGAAAATTTCCTTGCTTTTCTTGTCATTTCTTTTTTCATTACTTTGTACAGGCACCAAGAAGGAATAAGTAAAAACAATAATCCTGTTGATCCAGCACAAACACCTGTAGAGAACTCAACTCCAGAATCAACATATATAGAACCAAAATTAAAAAATTAATATTTGAATGTTAGGTCTAGTAAAAATTTTAATTGTTTTTTAATTTTATAGTCATGTGTAATTCATAAAATGAAATGGATGGTATATAATATATTTAAAGTTGATGTTGTGTGGACATACTCAAAATGCATCAACTCAATACAGTTTATTTTTCTGAGTGCTAACAAATTTACTAAAAATCTATCCTTACATAAAAAATAACAATAAAACTGGACATTTTTTTCGTAAACATAACTTATGTTGAATTATTTGGACACAAAATTTGAAAGAAAGAAAAAAAAAAGAGAGCTGATTTTAAACTCTATTAAGATTATGTTTGTCAAAAGCAGTTGTATATAATATTTATTTTGTTGAAACAATAACATTATTTTATTAGAATTATTTATTTGTTTATGATTTAAAAATTTTAAATTAAAAATGAATGATAAATATTGATAAGAGTAATTTTTTAACATAAATTTTAATCAAGTTTTTAAGTCAGTACTCCAATCAATATTTCTAATTTTAAAAAATTATTGAAAATGAATGATAAATATTGATAAGAGTATTTTTTTTTTAAACATAAATTTTCATCAAGTTTTTAAATCAATAATGACTTAAAAGCATAAAGGAAAAGGCAGAGTAATATTGTAATAGAATTATTGGGCGGATCCATACGGGGCTTTGTTCATATTTTAATTGAGCTCTCCGCTAGTGAACAGTGGAATTGATCCTCGAATTAGTTGGTCCATCAGGTCGGATACTGGGTGTAGACACCCCATTTTTTACCGTCCTCAAGACTTGGACTTCACCGTTTGAACACCCGGTGATCATCCATGTTTGTGTTCGTTTGGAGTTCCCGGAGGTCTCGGCTACGCGCCTTGCCTCAGGATCTCCGAACTCGACCGTTCAGTGTCTGGTTTCGTACCAAACACTTGTGTTTTGCCTTGGAGGGGCAGGGAAATACCTTGTGAGGCATCCCACACATCACCGGCCATGGCCAGAGGCCACCGGCTGGTGTTTTGTTTCAATCGGCAATGTATACTGCTGGTCGGCATTCTTTGTTGCCGGTCGCAGTACATTTTGTCAAGATGGCAATTTTGAGCAGCCGACTACTGTTCATCTGCTTTTGCAGATATTTTAATACAGCTGTATGGCATTTTGTTCCCCTCCATACACGTGTATGGAGGGATGGCCTTCTTGTTAGCTTACCTTGTAAGCTTTACAAGATTGGCTCCTCTATAAGAGGAGCCCTCCTCTCTTGGCTTTAGGGTTTGGACAAAAAGATTAGAAAATATACAGAGGAGAGCTCTGGATTAGGGTTGGGGTTTGTGTCTCACCTATCTCTATTTTCTCTTTTCTTTTACCTTTGTGTGTGTATAAGTGCATTTGTGTCTTACTATTGCACACAAACACATAGTGTTACACCTTCCCTTGGCTATTGAGGTTCTAAGAGGTTGTTCTTGAGGTTCTTGGGTGGTTTTGAGCTTGGAGGAGCAGCTGGTCCACCATTGTTGAAGAGGCTTTCAAGGGTAACAATCTTGCCCCTTTTTACCCCTTTCTTGCATTGCATTTTTGCCTATCTTAGAACTATTTTTGAGCTTAGTGTATAATATAAAAAGTTCTGTTTTTAGGCCCTCTAAATAGTTTGTTTAGGGTGTTTTGTTGTTTGAAGGTGTTGACCCTCTTAGGCCTTGAGAGCGCCCCATTTTGTGCTATTTTGAGTGAGCTCCGGGACCTTGGTGTTTGGGCCTCCTCACCACTGAAATCTTGAGGATTTCAGAGGTGAGGATGGTGCCTTGGGGTCCTAGGGAGGGAGGGCCACCCTTCCTTGTTGTCCTTGAAATGGACCATTTTTGGCCTCTTGAGGGAGCACCTAGCTAAGCTTCATGTTGACCATGCCTTAGCTGATTTTTGTGCTTATTATGTCAAAAATGCTTCTGTTTTTTATGGGTTTTGGTACACATGCATGCTTAGCATACCTACCTTGTAATGCCATGTTTAGGCCTTAACATGCCTTAGGTTATAAACCATTGTTTCCAGCATGTTTAGGTCTAGCTTTGTGAAGCTTTTGTGCTTATTTGGCCATGTTAGAGGTCTGTCCTTAGTTGTTTTGGTCGCCATGACCATGTTTAGTATAGCCCCTTTGCATTTTTGGCTTGTTGGCCTTAAGTGTGTGAATGTATAGCATGCATTACTTACTTTGTCTTAATGGTTTGGCACCATTTATAGTATCATTTCAGTCCCCTTAGCATGCTTGTATGCTTGCCTTGGATGTCTCTTTGATGCCTCATGAGCTTGTGTGGTATGCTCCTTGAAAGTGCATTTGTGCATGCTTTTGAATTCAAGCCATTTAGGTGCCATCTAAGTGGTCTTTTGGGCTTTGTTTTATGTGCTAAAACTCTGTTTTTGGTCATTTAAGTCTTGCCATGTGTGGTCATATCAAGTGTAGTTCAATACTTCATTAGCTTGCCTTGAATGCTTGGGCCATTTGTTGCATGTTTAGCCTATCTTGTTTG